CTGATTGTGGACTCAATGGTGACAATCGTTTTGATCACAACTTTCATGAACTGTATTACAGTTACTGTAATATTTTGAATGAATAATATGAGGCATACATTACTGTTAAGTCTTTGTTCATGTTTCGGTACCTTTTGTGTTGGCGTTATGTATTTGGTGTGCTGTATGTAAAAGGCTGTGCTCATCAACACGCAGTTATTGACTTCATGTCAAACTCATGTAATAAAATTTTTGCGCTAATTTTAAAGCAATTTAATTATATTTTATGTTTACTGTATTGACAGTTATCATAGTCATTGACATCATTTGAATTAAATTAATAGAAATATAGATTATTTAAATATAAATTTAAATATATCTTTTAATTAGATTAAGTTTGAAACTATTTAAGCACAAAATAATTTATATCAAAATTTATAAAACAATTAACTGAGAAATTATATAAATAATTATCTCTACAAAACATTCACTCCTCGCTATGACCAGGAAACAATTGAATATTCATTGGCAACACTCTTGTATCGAAATACTTCGAGAAACTACAAAGAGTTTTGTATTCATCTTTGGTCACGAGATTTATAACCATATATTCGCCACAATTCTCACTCTTAGAGCCAACCCTTTAATCATAAGAATAGTTAACATTAATTCACACCATTAAAAGTTAATGAATACTCACTTTTTAATATAAGGATCACGAGTCGGCAAATCATACATAATATATTGTCGAATATTTCTCAACCCATCAATTCGTCTCACTGTAAGCAATGCATCCAAAGGAAGTCTTTTAGCATTGATATCTTCAATCACTTTCTGTCGTTGTTTCGAGTTTTTGTGAATCTTTTCATTCAACCCATGAAATTAAGCTTAATATAAGAGATAATATTATAAATTCGATAAAATACCAGATTCTCGGCTCTAATTCCTTCGGCGACCAGCGATTCCGTCAAATTCTCAACATTTTCCAGTGATTTACAGTAAATGACACATTTCTGCAATATTTTGCATCTGAATAGTGTATAAATTAATTCAACTTTTTCGTTGCGAGTCTCGGCCATCAGGAAAAACTGTTTGGCCTTATCTAAAGAGTACACATCTTTGGGCTTAGGTTTGGGTGATTTAAGTCGAGCGCGAGTTGTCCCGGAAGGACCAGTAGTAGTATTTCCATGAGAGCTTTCAATCTGTTTGAGATAACATTTAGTAATTTCTGCATTTACTACTTATCTATAATATTATATTAATCGGATTAATGGTCTGTGGTTTGTCCATTTCCCATTCCGGTCTATTATTGTATTAATCTCTTTGTGTATTAACATAATTTTAAAATTATAGTAATATACCGGTAATTCCTAGATGATATAATATAATAGTGTATTATTTTAAACACATTTCTGGGATACATTTACATAATAATTATTTTTTAAAAAGTCCAAAACATACCGAATCGTGTTCGTACCCGTCATTCACTGATGTACTACTGGTTCCAACAGTTCTCAAGTTGTCCACTGTCTTCAAAGCCGATCCGATATCTCTGGGAAATTAATCTAAATTAAGAAATTTATTTCAAAATAAAATTTCAAACTTTTTGGCTTTTAATTGTCTATATTTTTCAATTTCATTCAATTGGCTCTCAATCTCTTTGAGTTCTTTTTGACGTGATTTGAGATCTTCCTTAAGAAACTCTTCTAATGTATCAATCAATTCATTTGGATTTGGTGTTGAAACCATCGTTACGACTAATGTAGTCCACAGATAACTGCTTTAACACATGTCAGTAACATTTGAGATTAAATATTTGGGGAAATATCTTGCAAAATTCAATTATTAAATACTAGAAGATTAATATTTAATTTATAAAAAAAATTTTCAAACTTTAAGTAATTAAACTTTATGTTTAAAACAAAATGAAAAGGTAATTTATTTAGAAAATCCACTCACATTTATTAATTCTTTTCAATATTAATATATCAAACTATTAAAATTGATCTCATTTTCCATTTGTTTGTAAATTAATTTCATATAAAGTAATAGTTTTATAAGATTTGTTATACTGAGAATCAATGTCATTTTTAACATGAACTCAGTTTATTTATTATTATCTAAATTATTTTCAATTGGTGTAAGTTTTTAAAAGTATTTTTCATTAATAAGCATAAAATATTTTGACATTGAACAATAGACATTATGCATAGATTTATTGGCAAGTATTTTACTAAAGAAATTAAACATGCCATGATTGCTTACGAGTAAACCAACATTTTTAATGTCTACTATAAAATATATTGTATATTTCAAGTTTGGTATAGATCCTATACTTG